TCAGCAGCTAAAAAATATTTTTTTTCCTGAGCTAACCCTGAAAATGTATAAGATTGTTTTAGTTGCAGAGAAGTCTGGGACAGAAGTACAGAATTGCCTCTATAATGTCATCTTCCACAGTGAGCATCCATTGCAAGTGCAGATACACTCTTTGCAGCAGGACTATCCATGACTTTAGAGGACTGAAACAACCACTGACACCTCTGATTACAAAAAGGTATAGTATTAAACCAAAACTCTCTGGACATTGTTTTTTCTCTACCACACAGCTTTCACAGGACAAAGTGAATGTAACATTATTAAATCTAAAGCATAGTATCTTCCATCTAATTGGAGAGGTATACGTTAGTCAAAATGCAAGGAACGGGCTCACATGTTTATACCAGTATTGGCACTGACAAAGTTTCAGCTAAATACACAGCGAAAGCGCTGGTTTTCTTTTGGGAAGAGGGACGGTATTCTTCGAGGGGACACAATGGAATCATGAGCTCATCTAGACTGCTAAAATGGAACAGAATGGAAAAGACCTTTAAAATATTTCCATCCATGGTAATAAGAGTGTTGGGACCACGAAATGAGGCTGTCACAATGAAAAGGTAAGATGTCCTCAGCTACTGGTGCATCATCTCCATTTAACGCTGCCTCCGCACCCAGTCCCTGCTCTCTGCTCAGCATCTGCTGGTGTCTCTGGCCCGGTTTCCCTAGGAAGGACAAAGGCGCAAGAACAGCCAAGGCCACCATGCTAAACTTCTCTTCTAAAGCCTGTCAGGGGAGTTTCTCAGGGAATAAAGTATGAATGGAGCTGGAGACAGTGATAAATTTCCCTTCTGAACAATCAATAAAATTCTCTCAGCCCCGCTCAGGCCCTACTGCGGATGCAAGGGCCATAATTACATTGTCAAAAAGTCGAGTTGCCTTGGCTGACTGAAACCTCCTTTAAAACTGACGTGTGATTGACAGGCAGTTTATGGGTGGCACGCTCTGACTGGCAGGGGAGTTGGCTAAAGCCAAAGGCAACAGTGAAATTTCCCAGTCTGCTACAACCACCGGAGCAAAGGACTGCCACTCACAAGGGAATTGTGGGAAACCCTTAGTCATATTAACATATCAAAGTGAGGAGCTGACAGCTTTTACTAAACAATCTGAACTTAACCATGGCTGCAGAGCATCCCCCAAACCTCCCAGTCTGAAAGAGAAAAGAAATTAAAGTGCTCTGACTCCTGTCTTCTCCAAGACAGCTAAGAATTTGGAAGCCTGCTTATTTAATGATTTTGATCTGCGATAACATATATATGCATGTATATATATGTATCTCACGAATGTATATTGCTAAGCATGTCAGCCTCTTTCATATATATATGAAAGAGGCTGTCATGCTCAACAATTTGTTCTATACCACAGGCCAGGCTAGTACAAAATTGAAGACAGAACAGCATATTTCTGTTTCATGTAAGCAATATGAACCCAGCAAAAGAACACACTCTTCTGGTCTTGTTTTCTAGCGGGTTTCTACTGTTTCAGTGCTAAATTGCAGATTACATGCTTTGAATGAACCTTAATTGCTGCCATGCACTGGGACTATACATAGTGCAAAGCTTAAAAGTGACTTTACAGCTAGTCCGGATTTGTTGAATTAGAAATTGTTAAGAATTCTTGAATAAGAATTAAGAAATTGAAACCAAGAGATGTTTCCACTAATGGGCCAATCCACCTCTGGCTCCACGTATCTCCATCCAGTTAATATCTGAGTTGCAGATCTCACCTTCTTGGCTTCCTCAGGAATGCGAATCACTGGGAATTATTGCACTGAGTAAAATATATGAAAAGTCAGTGAGAAATGCCTTGAGGGTACTGACATGGGCACCTGGGTTTACTTCCCTCCATCATATTGCCAAGGTAACACTGTAGAACATACTTCTGCCCTGTTTATCTCCATAATTTTGTGGGTTGTCGGTGAGGATGGAGTCAATAAGCCTGTGACAGGTTCAGAAAGGAAAGGAGAAGCAGCACAGGAGGCACAGCCGAAAGGAGATGTTACTGGCTTTTCCTATGTTGCTAGAAAACAAAACAGCATGAAGAAGACAAGGCTCTTGTCATAGAGTGCTGACAATTTAAGGACAAAATCCTGACTTACAGCGGTCAAACCAAGAATGGAAGGATACTTTAAAGTAGCAGGAGGAGACACAGGAAATGAAGAAGCAAAAGCTGTTATCAGGTAAATTCAAATCAGACATTTAACACACCTCTTAAAAAAAAAAGAAAAAAATAAATAAAACCATGGATGGTTAACCAAATTAATCCCCTGGAACAAGCTTCTACAGAAAATGCTGGATTCCGTTTCCCTTGATGTCCTCAAAGACCAAGCCTTTCTGGAAGGCATGCTTTAATCTCAAGGCTGGGATAACTCTGTGAAACTCAATGGCCAGAAACAGACACTCAATTCAGCTTAGATGATCTAATAGCACTTCTTCACAGAGACCCTCCAGGAAATGGGATAGAAATGTTCTGCCCTTCTGCAAAACCAGTTTACTGAAATTATTAAAGCCATTTGCAAGCACTGAATAATTTAGCCTCGCTGTGTGTCGATGAAGTGGTCAAGAGCACCTGACTTGGCTTTCGGGAGTAGTGTAGCCCACCTCCGTGGCCACTGCCAGAAGAACCTTCCCCAGCCTCTGCTGATCTCTCCTGATTCAGAAAAGCATCTCTTCACCAACTCCTCTCCAACAACCGACCTCTCCTGACCTTGCTCGGCTCCTGTGATCTGACAGGATTACCGCACAGTGGTAAAACTCACTCCATCTCTGTGCTCAGATTGTACCCCTCGGTGTCTGACATCATTTTTGACTGAGAGCCATATGTGTCAGCGATGCTCAGCTAGCAACATTTCTGCCTGTAGGCCAGGAGGGTGTAAGTTCAAGTCCTGCTGCAGGATACGAATGCTTACCAATGTGAAGGTTGACACACAAGAACATAAGGGAGGGAGATAAGGCATTCAAATACGCTGGCTTTTTTTTTTTTTTTCTCTCTATGACAGAAGTTGCCTTCAAAAACAGCCCATTAGTTGACATATGTGCACTGCACTAATATTCTGATCCATGCTGAATTTGGACCTGAATTCCGTTATCCAATCTACTGCACCAAGAAATGGACTGTATTTTATGCTGGTATTTCACAGCCTTCCAAAAAAGCTGTGTATCTAAATTCCTCTGTCCCACAACAGCTGCAAACCTAGAGCTGTTTTCTGTCTTTTCCACTTGGTAGGAACGCAGAGCTGTGGCCCTGCAGGGCTTCCTTTGAGAGAAGGGTCCAGGGATTGGAGCAGAGGACTGGGCATCTAGGACTGAAATTCTGGGCATTGACACAGTTTTTTTGCATAGTCCTGGACTTGTCATTTATGAGGACAACCTGTGCTGAGTGGATGCAGCTGTGTGTACCACCAGGAAAACAGAGAGATGCCAGCTGTGCTCCTAGCGCTGGAGACAGACACTGGCACTGGGATGCCAGCAGAGCACGCAGAGATGGAGGAGGAGGGGAAAACATATTGCCAGGAGCACTTTGCTGGTGCTTTGAGAAATAACGTCCCCACTCCAGCTGGCACAGGTTACTAACTGCACCATGCTTGGCATCGGCTTCACAATGGGACCTACCTGGCAGACTACACTCTCCTGGAAACCCCAAAAGCCATACCATCTTTGGGGAGGAAACTTCCCAGGTTTTATGGAGAGAGACGAGGGGAGAAGGATACCCCATTCTAGTAACAGAGCAAACCCACATGATTCACAACAGACATCTGAGGTCCGGTTTCCAAGGGATGGAGACCTTCATTTGTGGACAGATATGCACAAATTCAAACATCTTCTAGGCACCTAAATGACTGCTAGGGTTTCATAACTTCTTGATACCATCTATCTTCTTCTTGGGGTCCAGATTTTCGAAATTGCTCAGCTCCCGGTATTGGAGCTTTTATGGAGATACAGCACTGAGCTGTCATGCATAAGATACTGCAGAAAAAGGAGTCTGATGGCGAATGCAAAGATATGAAGTTCTGGCCCCAAAACCTGATTTCAACAAATGCTTAACTGTAATTACAAATCCAAGTTCATGATTTTGTTTTGTTTAGGGTATTTTCCTCCAAAAAAACTCAAACCTTTTTGCTTTGTTTTGCTTTCTTTTATTCATTTGTGCTTTGCTTTTGAAGAGAAGAAAAAATATGTACTCACCATGAATGGAAAGGGTTCCATTCCTCACTGCCAGGAACTTGACCCCATATGGAAATAATGGTGGAGAATGGAGGCTTCCATAGAGATAGATGTGCGCTTTATGACGGAAAGGGGCCTCCGGGGATCCCACCTGGAGCTCTCCTCCATCAGATATCAGAATGTAATGAGCATGCAGTTCTACAGGTCCTGGACCAGTGAACAAGAGTTTGCCACCTGAGGACAGAAGAGCAAAATACAACCACAGATCTAACAGCCGATCATTATCTCACAGTCAAAGGAACTGTGAGAGGTGGGTAAATAAATTGCTTTGCAGTAAAATTACAAGATTAAGGGTAAAATATTATTACATCTAGCAAAATTTCCACCTTGCCCTGTACTTCTGCCTATGGATATCAGGTCTTTACAAACCTTATTAATTCAGTCCAATCTTCAATTCCACCACAAGCTGCCTTTCTCGACTTGAGCAAGGCAACTCAGCCTGGGCTGACATCTAAGTCTCTCCAATCCCAGTGCAAAGGAGCTGTGTTTGGAAAATCCCAGTTTTAACCTACTCACTCTCTAAATGCTAAAAAGGGATATTACTGCTTAATTTGTATGTTACTTTTCAGATTACAAACTACTTATGACAGGGAGAGGGGAGGGGAAAACCACTTTGGAACATAAGAACTGGCAACTTGATTAGATCAGCGGTTGATTTAATCCTGCATACTCTTCCAGCTGCTGTTTGAAACCAGATGCTTCCAAATACAGTATAAGAAACCTCTCCCTGTTAGCTGGATGTGAGATTATCTCCCCATCCCATGAAAGGCTCATTTTAATCCCTAATTAGAGGTTAGCTTCTCCTCAACGTATAAGGTTTCATCTCCTTGCCAAAATTTCCCTTTTACCACCTATTAGTATAACTGGATAAGATTTGTCAGTAATACAGGTCTGATTCTTCAAATCTTTCTAATATTTAGTCTCAATGACTTCTTGAATCAATGAATTCTGTGGTTTAACTACATAGTGCACGAAAAGGCATTTCCATCTCTTGATTTTGACTCGGTCTCTTCAGTTCTGTCAAATGCCTCCTTTGTTCTTGCCTTGTGTGAGCTGGCAATCGCAGCCTGTCATCTCAGGGTGGTTTACTCTTTTATCTTCTTTCATATTTTCTCTCTTATGAAGGACACTGTCGCTATCTTTACAATGTATTTGGACAGAGTGGACTGTCAAACATCTAATCATTCTGCACACGGCATATGTCTTCCTAGGTCAAGCCATGCTCCCCAAGAACTAGTAGGGGATATCACTCTCCCAACATTTCCCTTTGTGTGAAGTAGCTAATAACTGTGCCATTTCATACCATGGCCAGCCTCCTACTGGTATGAGCAGGTTTTAATGGTGACTCTATACCTACCAAACAGCTGGCTTTCCTTCCCCACAAGATATTACCAATCCTTAGCAAGAAGGATAAGGGAGATCAGATCTCTGCTTTAATCTCAGTATTGAGAGAACAATGGAGGGAAGAAGTTTTAATATAAAAATCAGATTAAAATCTGCCCTGATTGTTGCTCACCTGTGATCAGATCCTGCTGCTCTCAGTGATAAGGGAGACACATAGCACTCGTGTGCCTTTCCCACCCAGTTGCATTCACTTCTGCTGAACACATTCTGCTTATCCCCAGCTCCTTATTTATTCTTGCATTGAGGGGCTTTCATTGTTTCATTGATTTCTTAGTCTTATAACAAAGTCTTATAATGTAGTCCTAGTTGTAATTTCTCAGGGTTATAATAAAGCTAATATTTGAATAAGGACTACCCGTTGAATATTTTCTTTCCAGGTTTCAGCAGATTCCACATAAATTTTTACAGAATATGCTTAACAAACAAAAGCAATAAATCTCACATTTTCTTGCTTATAACCACTGAGAACCATGGGATTGCTCCCACAAACAC